CTTTTGGAAAAAAATAACCAATTACTGGCATTTTGAAGAAGGAACTCAGAGGTAAGTAGCTCTTAACTTTCCTGTAACCTCAGCCCTCACTTCAAATTTCACACTGTCACCACACAATTGTCTCAGCATGATTCTCAGGAAGAAGAAACAGACCCAGTAAAGAGCAGTGAGAGCAAGACTTGCCCCAGCTGCCCTCATCCTTGGTTCTGAAAATGTCTTGTTAGATGGAAAGTTCTTCAGAGTTCATCTTTGTCATTTCATGTATTTTGTAATTTGGGGAATCTTCTCAGTGTATAAAGAAACATATGTGGGAATGTTTATTAAAACATTGGCAGACTTTTATTGCCTTACAGTTTGGCATTTCATACTGCTTCTGAAGCATGTTTCAAGTTATAGTATACATTTTAAAGTTTCTAAAATTCTAGAAGCTTGGTTTTCTTTAGAAGTTTATTAAGAAACTAAAATGATCCGAAACATTAACTATTTTTACATTGTAGCTATAAGCACTACTTCAATTTATATTTAATGCACCAATATAAAATAGTAACAAAAGTGAACTTTTTAATTAATTTCCTTCTCAGGAAACCAAGTGAAAATTCATATATTTCCATTGCAGAGTGGCTTTTATTTTTTTTTATATCTTAGTCAAAACGGCATTTTCAAAGCTCCTGATTTAAAATCCTAACTAATCATGACATAGAATTAGTCTATTTATGGGTACAAAAAGCAAGCCTTGTTCTCATTATAGAGTAAGTACTAGCTGTTTATAGATCTGACAGTTTGTTGGAAGCGATCCGAACGTATAGTGCTATTATTCCTTAGCAAAATTTAAACAGCTGTAGTCATGCAACTCAAAACCCTGGAAGCCCTCTGCAGTGCTTGTTCTCCTTCAGTATACCATGAATGCAGGATGCAGCCAGTCATATAAAGGATTCTCTTCTTCAAAGAATGAAAGAAAGACGTGAACTACAAACCTGAGTGCAACCAGAAAGGTCCAAATAGATGAGCTTGTGACAGCCTTTTCCAGAGCCCAGGTACAGTAAACCTTTGTCTGTGAATTTTCTGCAGTGAGCTAAACTCAGATACTGTAAATTGGGGAAGCTGCTTTGAAAAAACAACAACAAGAAAACAAACAAAAAAAACAACAGAGAGAAAATTGTTACAAGGGTATGTTACAGAATCAAAAGAACATAAAATACCATTTTTCAAGTGTTCTGAGAATTACTGTAAAGAAAAGATGTATGCTATGAAATAGAATTATCTCCTTGCTGAAGTTTGAAAGTCCCTTTCTTCTGCTGCACTTTTTCCTCTGCTCCTTGTATTGCAAATTACTGGGGAATAGCACTATAATGCAACATATTTCACCATACGAAAACAATATAATTTTAAAGTTATCTGAACTGCAAAAGCAGATTTTTTTAATTAACTGGGATTTCTGTGTGCATACTTTGAAAGCTAATAGACTTTTCAGTATAAGTTTGCTGGGCTGTCTTTGTCATTGATTTTACAAGCAGTGCCTGCTGGAAATAAAAATGAGAACTCTATCAAAAGACATTAAAAGCATAAATGTACAGTTAGAGCTTCTCAAGTCATAATTATTTAGAAGAATACTATAAAAAGAATCTGAAAAACTGAAAGACATACAAAAGGGAATTATCCAAAAGTGAATCACTGAATACTGAGTTTTGATCAGTTCTTTTGGAAAATGTTTCTTTATACTAAATGTTAGTTAAGGGAAAGCAAACTGTGTAAGTGGAAAATGCTAATAAATCGCACTCTGCAGAAGGAAGAATCTACACTCTGAACGTATTTAACTTTCCATCTGCAGCTTTGGTTTAATAACATATGGAAAACTGTTTATTTTACTGAAGTAAAATAAAAACTAACTGGAATAAATAACAACTGCCAAGAGCACCACAAATGAAAGCATACAGAAAATCAAAACCTAGAATTACGACCTACTGCTCTGGTAGGCATTAAGTTGTAGGGACATAATTCTGCAGTTCTGCGAGTCAGCAAAAGCAGGCATTTTGAAGAAAGATGGGAACACCCACTGAGGAGCTGACTGCTTAAGGAGTGGCATAGATTTTTGGAACTGACTTTATACTTTCAATATAGAGTGGGGAAATAAGTTAACTTCAACTACACACACCAAAAAAAAAAGAACAGGAAGCTGGAATAGAATGTTATTGTAAAAAAGGATAATACAAAAATATTAAGAAATTAAATATAAGATTATATTTCATTTTTTAAAAAAAAGTGTCCAACATGTATCAGAACCAGACATTAGAATATAAGAGTATGTGTTTGTGGTGTGACTTTTTTAAATGGAAACACTTAATTCACATTAAATATAGAAATTAAAGTATCCTGCTTTTTAGTGACATATTCCACAGAAATGAATGGGAAAAATCAAACTCAGAAAAAGTATACTTCTAAACTTATCTGACAATATAGATAATAAATTAAGAGACTGGATTTTATACTCTGGCAGTTCAGAGCCTTTTCAAAGTATATGTTGCTACAAGGTTGCACAACTTAAGACACAGGGAGGCCTTTCTTACTGCATTTTGAAGACTGTGATCAAAACCTTCCAATTCTTTTAAAGAGACACTAATCTTCTTTACAGGTCATATGACACATTTTTATGATCTGGAAATTTTAACACGTGACTTCTTCTGCCATTTTTAAAGTGAAAGTTTTCTTAAAACTTAAGCGCGAGCACTTGGACTGCTAAAAATCCTTGCTTTGTGTTACAGCTGAATTTTGCAGAAATTCTGTCATACTGTTTTTCCAATTGATTTTGGCATTAGCAATCTCAGGATCATTGTTTTAAAGCAAACTCACAAATTCATGTTCTGACATTTAGTCCTGATAGACAATATGTTGTGTAGTACGGAGGTTAAAATACTTGTCTGGAATAGCAGGAGACAATTAAAAATGATCAAACACTTCTGAGCACGCTCTGCCTACACTTCACTTGTTTCAATAATGGACATCTGATATGCAATAGCAGACTTCACATCAAGTATTATGAAATGCAACACTGCCACCTCTAAGAAGTTCATATTAGTTACAGGAGCTGTGGTGAGCTAATGCTTTTGAGACAGCACGTGAAATGTTTGTGAAATTTGTCTGCTACCAAAATCATCACAGGACAGCAACTTTCTGTGCACCCCTGTCATCTCAGAGACCAGGAGCTTTCCTTTTTGTCCAAAAATTGTCAATAAAAACAATGGTTTTAAGTCAGAAACATATGTGGCTGGGAAAATTTCATATTAACGAGGTATATGTTAACTGCAAAATACATTTTGTCAGTGGAGAATTTTTCTTTTTGTTTTAAACATTTGATTGCATTGAAAGCTTCACCTACTCTGGAGAATTCTTTTTTGGGTATGTGCTGTTTACGCATCAAAAGAAATGAATAGTTTGACTTTGGGTGGCAAAAGCATGCTCAGAATTCAGAATAACATACACTGAGATTACGAACAGTATAATCATTCCAACTTCAACAAAAATATATGGAAATTTAAAACAACAAACTATCAGCCAACATGGAGAAAACACAGATTATGATAAGAATAACGGTGATGAAGAGATGAATCGTAAGACTGGAGACACTAAATGGGAAACTGTGCCAAAACAAATGTTAGTTATATGAAGATATGGCATCATAGACTAAAAAAAAACAAAATTCAAAATATATTACACAAATGCCAAAGAAAACGTTTCTTGACTTTGTGGAGCTGCTGTTGAAAGGAAGAGACTAGTTTTCCTCACAGGAGAGAGGAACAACGACAGCGATCTTCAGATCTATACACATCTTTGTGAAGGCTGCTGTCGTGCCTCTTTTCCTTTACAGCAGCTTTTAATGCAGCAATTCTACCTACCAGGCAGACTTTAAGTCTCATGGAGGGATACATCTAAAACAGGAATGGCAGACCTCTGCAAGAATGTAAACTCTCTGCCTTCAGCTCACTCATCGTCCAAAAAAGAGTTTGGAATGACACTTTCTTTTGTGGTTGTCACACATGCCTTGGCTCACACAATACTCCCAGCCACCATCCACTCTTGCAAAAATAAATTTTTAAGAACGTATCTAGCTTGCAAACTTCTTGCATTATCTGGAGCAATCTGGACATGGCCAAGAATTTTTTTACTAGCACGTTTTTTAGAAGTTTCTGTAAAACTCTGAAACATATAGTGTAATTAGCATCTATTTTTAATTATACTAAAAAGATAAAAGACTTGCTAAGTCAAATGTATGTGCCATTTTTCTCATTTTGTATAGCAGACACAACCGTTTAAATTACTCAAAAAAAGTATTTCTATTACATATGCCTCGAAGTTTCCTACAAAGTTTAAACAAACACACTTTCATATTTCTGTTTAATTTTACCTTGACAATACTTGTAGTGTTGCATTAGTAATATCTGTATATGACAGATTTAAATAAAGAAGAGCTCTGCAACCTTCTGCTATGATTCTCATCGATTCATCCTGAAAAATAAAAAAACATTCCAGAAGTACATTCAAATTATATTTATATTAATTTATCTTACATTTTTATGCAGCATAACAAGGGAAATAAACATGAATTAATATCTTTAAATCACCCTAATAATTTTTATACACCACAGCTATTCTCTCTGGAAGACTTAAAGTAGAATGCTGAGAGACATATGATGCTACTGTTACTCACCTGAAGTATGGTAATTTTAACATACCAATTCAAGGAAACATTACACACTACACAATCCTAGAGAGTACAGGAGACTCTTCACGTGGTTGAAGGTTAGCATGTGTTTACACATTGCATTAAACGAAGATTCTTTTAGCCAGTCCTGGTATCTAAAAGCACTGGGGAAGGAAGCTTAAGGAAGTCTTCCAATTGCCTATGCTGGTTACTCATGGGAGGCTTTAGCCACTCTCATATCTGCTCAAAGAGCAATACGGCTGGGCACAAACAATCCAGGAGACTTCTAGAGTGTGTTGAAGACAATTTCTTGATCCAGGTGACTGGCTAGTGGCCTAGGGAACGTATTCTTGGGGACTTATCCCACAAACAAGACCAAAGTGGTCAAGGATGTGAAGAACTAGAGTGGCTTTGGTTACTGCAACCATGAAAATGAGGAGTTTAAAATTCTGAGACAAGAAAATTGGACCAATTGTAGAAGAAAAAGGCTGAACTTCAGAGCAGATTTTGGCTTGTTTAGGAATCTTAACAGGATTTCATGGCACACAGCCCTAGGGGGCAAATGGACCCAGGAGAGCTGGGTAATCTTCAAGGCCAGGGTGCTCAATGACCTTTTTGCCTCAGTTTTTACTGCTAAGGGTTCTCTTAAGGCTTCCCAGGTGCCTCCCAGGAGCCTAATAGCAGAGTCTGTGGGAGCGAAGCAATACCCATGGTAGAAGAAGATAACATCACAGAGCACCAAAGGAAGTGGGTTGAAGACAGGATGCATCCAAGAGCATTGAGAGAGCTGGCTCCTAGCACTGAGAGGCCTCGCTCATTTTTGAAAGGTCATGGCAATCAGAGGAGATTCCTGATGACTGGAACATAAGAAATATCACATCCATTTTCAGGAAATAGAGAAAGGAGGATCCAGGAAACTACAGGCCAGTCAGCCTCACATGAGTCCCAGGGAAGGTTCTGTAGCAAACCTTCCTTGAAGCCCTGTCAAAGCACTTGAAGGATGAAAAAGTAATAGCAAACAACCACCATGGATTTACCAAGGGCAAAGCATTCTTCACTAAAGCAATAGTTTTCTATGATGAATGAACAAATAAAAGAACTTGGAAACCATATAGGATTAAAACGTATTGTTGTTGAAAACTCCAAACTTAAAGTAACAAAAAAACCCCTCCCCTCAGACCGGTGAAATTTTGAAGACTGCTCATTAGAACTAATTGAGGTTGAATATATCATTTTGCCCTGGCACTGTAGAATACAGATGAGAACTTCACCAAGTATCTCTGAATTCTGTTAAACTTCATTTTCAGAGTACTTAAGAACACAAGCCTCTATTTTTATCAGGAAGATAAATAACAACAACACTTTAAAAAAATCTTCCTTCTTGGTATAAATTAGAGTTCATAGAAAAAAGTCTGTAGTACTTACATTTAATCCCTGGCATTCAGAGAGATTTAAGTCTTGCAAATTCTTACATTCACCTAAAAATAAAGAAAAAGGTCATATTAAAGGTGAACAGTTCAAATTCTCAGTGTACAATATACACATAAAGATTCCTATTATGGACTCGATCCATCTAGACCAATATCCTCCCTGTTACCATGGTCACAGCAGATTACTGAGAAGAAAGCACATAACCCCAAAAGCAGAATACAAAGTTTGAGTAAGTTGGCCTGAAGAAATGTCTCTTCTTACACTCCCTCAACAAATAGCTAGCTTACAAACCAAGCTGTTTTCAGTCTTACATTACCAAAGGCCCAGAAAGCTACCTAACTAAGCAATTTGGTGTTAAGAAATGCCAGAATTAAGTCTTCCACATAGGTTCATCTGTTCCTTCCACCAATATATTATGGCACCCCTATTTCATTACATACAGGAACGATGTTTTCCCTCTGAAAGCAGAGGTGCAACAATCAGGCTGATTGTTGGAAAAGCCCCACCTAATCTTATGTAGGTATGGTATTTCAGATTATTTAGCTGCCTTGAGATGGCATCTTACGTGTGCATATGATCTATTATTTTTTAAAAGTCCTGTTTTGCAGAGATATTGCAATTCTAACCAAATAATGAAATATAGATGTCTGACACTAGAAAAAACAATTACACATTCCTTCAGCCACTCTTCTGCCAAATTTTGAGTCTATCCTCCAAGGTAAAGATGCAACTCCTATTAAATATAGTAATACTTTTTGCCTTAATCTGATACTCAAAAATGACTGATCTGTCTAAACTGCAATGGAAAAAACAGGCCTGATGCAGATATCTAACATAGAAAATGAGGTTTGAAGGGTTTAGAATTAAAAGAAATATATTTTAAAAATCTGTAAAAACATGTTTTCATATAGTAAGCCAAATACATGTTTTCAATTGCAATCAAGCATTCGTATTCTTTTCTATGGGGACTGTGACTTCACTGTCTTAATTCAGTGCCTTTTTGAAGAGTAGGGCAATACTGAGAGAGATTGCACAACTCAGAAGAACCTAACCAATTAAAATCATCCTTAAGGCTGCTAAGCCACACAAATTACAAACTCCTTACTTTTTTCGTTTTAACTTAGCACTAGATGAGACACAGTTATATAATTTTACATGTGAATCTGTAGATGCTACTGAAAGCAGCTACTCATTTTGGTACTATAGATGAATATAATTTAGCTAGCAGACAGAATGTAATACTAGTAAAAAGTTCCAGTTCAGACCTAGGAAATGGAAATGAAGAGGAAAGAATATTTTTATAATTATTTCCTACCTTCCCCTTTAGCCCCCTCCCCATCCCTCAGTTCATCTTTTTATATTTCTGCGCTCTCCTGGATAGAAGGAGCTATCATATTACCAGAACAGGGAACAGTTCAAAACACACACAGAGGATCCTAGTTACAAATCAAGTTATTTAAACATGTTATCAATTTACACTGACTAGCATACAGCTGCCAAAAACTAACAAATAAAATTTCATTTTTCAAATAAGGAATAAAGTCAATGCAAAGATTCACAGTGGGTCACTGTGAGCTAACAGAATCTCACAGAATCACAGAATGTTCAGGGTTGGAAGGGACCTCTAGAAATCATCTAGTCCTGCCAGAGCTGGATCACCTATTTTCAAAGTATTTGTGAGGCTCCAAGTAATGTGATGACTGAGTACTTGACTGAATGCTGCATATTATGCATCATCATGGCTAGGCTTCACGAACGAAGATATGGGAAGGGAAGGGCTCTACCCACACTTGCTACAAGTGCGTTGATGGCTAAAAAGGCCGATGTGGGATAGGCAAGTCCAGCTGCAAAAGGCACAGCAGAAAGTCTCCTTAGGTGGTATTGGTGAGGCACGGTTCTTTCTGCGTTGTCTTTTCTCCTCGAGACTAATTCTACGTGCGTTCTCAAAGGAGGCAGCAGCATTATGGATGGTGTGTCTCCACGTCTCCCAACTGGAGGCCAGAGTGGACCACTGAGGGTAGTCAATATGGCCAAAACTGAGGTATTGTGTCAGAGAGTCCCTGTATCTCATCTTTGGGGCTCCTCTGTTGCGGCAGCTGGT